ATATAATTATACATATATTATATATACAACACAAGTACTCTAATATCGACAGCGTTATTGAGAATGATCAAGTGAACAAATTGCGTACGATTGATTTCAATGACTGTTTATACAAAGTAATTTGTTGAGACGATCTGAGTTTCGCCATTGATTTGCACGACATTATTGTCCACTCAGATGCGTCGCGAATGTTAATGGGTCAAAGAAATGCGATATCACATGATTGATAACATATTAGGAAAATCAAAATGATATGTTCTAGTATCATTAATCATCGATCAAATAACCCTGTATAAAGTTTTGCATAGTATCAATAAATTGTTTGAAATTTAGATAAGATAAGATAAGAATCATCGCGATAAAAATACACTTATTGTTAGTTCAATTGTCATAAAATAATAAAATTACATTTCTTTATGAACCATCCATTATTTCATGTTTCTTATTTTATTAGTAATAATATATGTTTTCGATGTTCACGTGCAATTATATCGCATTATTATTCTTAATTACAGGGAAGATACAACTTTTTATTTACATAAATATAAACAATATAAAAACATGGATTTTGTCTTACCTTTTACGACGTGGCTCGTCTCCGTATCCGCCATATTCGTGATTCTGCAATTAGAAATAAACAGCATCGTTAATATCTTTCCTTTGCAGACGGTTAGTTCGTTAAATTCGTGCGGATTAAACGTTGTTAATGACTTTATCCGACTTGCATCATTTACTTTGCCATTCCCACAGACTTGCGTGCGGTCAGCAAGTTCTCTCGAAAACGAGAGCGAGAGAGTTTCATTCGAAACTACTCGTAAGTCGAAAGCACGGATTTCCCGAGCAGTGATTTCCCCTCGGTACTCGCTCTTGCGGCAACACGTGTTACCGGCTTCCGTCGTGGGAAAATTGCGTAAGACAAATTTCGCGCGGCGGCTTTGGCTGAATTTCGATGGTGGACGCGACGTCACCACGGATGCGTGCTCGGTCAGTCTATTAATATGTGTGCACACGCGTCTTTTTACCACGGCACCCAAAGCGACGGAAATAGTGCAGCGGGACACCTTAGAGGCTGTGACGTATGGCCGCTTAGGTAAATTCTTGAGACCCAATCGGGATCACATAATTAAGCGGCACAGGAGCAGAGCTTGCGCAATTCCAAATCTTCTTTGAGTTAGATGTTTAAAAGCATTTAATTCGCAGATTGTAATTTACAGCGAAACTACTTGCAAAAGAATATTTATAGAAATTTTATTTTATACACTTTTCTATGTTTTATCTTTTACACATTTCTCACACTTTAAGATTACGATTAAATTCTCGTAGGAAGCAGATAAGAAAATATCAAATTTAATCGAACGTTGGTATTCGATGCGGAAATATCGGTAAAAAGATTTGTAACAAAATTATATTATGTAGATGAGATTTATCTATTTTTCATCCCGTGCGACATGGCTTGCCATTGTGTTCTCAAATGTAATCCGCTCTGGGAAACCGAGCGCGAATGTCAATTCTCAAGCGTCTAGTCGCTTCATATCGCTTCATATCGTAATGTGCAACGGTGCTAGTGAATAAAACATGAAGCGTATTTGTACGTCAGGATGACGTGTCGCGGCTAAATAATTCATTCACATTTTCCGCAATCGCGGAACGACAAATCGAATCCGAATAATCACGCAGATCTAATTATCAGCACAAAAATGTGTCCGATCACTCTGTAAATTTGATTTATATACCGCGCTAAATTGACGATACAAGCCGAAAAGATAATTCACGAAGTAAATTAAATTATTGTGTGCGATTATACATATATATATATTGATGAATAGAAATTCTGAACAACGTTGTGTACGTGTATATATAAAGTTGCGAATTTACGCTGGTCCACATCACTATATAATACATGTATATCGACTACATGTAAGAAAATATTTGAATAAATACTTTAGACTTTTACATAGAACAAATTAATTCAATATTCTCTCTCTCTCTCTCTCTCTCTCTCTCTCATCAAAAAATTTGTAGATGGAGAAAGATACAATTTTCTATTGAATGGATTTTTTAAAATTATTGATATTATTTTCCAATATATGTATAGAGTATATTATATAATAATAGTACTAGTCCAAAGTACACCACACAAGAAGAATAAAAAATGAACGAAGAAAACGCGTGACAAATGTGTATGACCCTGCGTATGTACGTCGCTAATGATCCGAAATTAGCCTGAATGGCAAAGGTAACAAAGGCGCAGGCATTTGGTTTTGCGCACAAGCCGAGACGTTCAAAGCATATCATCCTAGTAGAGTGTCTCCTCGTTGAATAATCAAGACATAATGTATATTGGATGGGGTCAACGAGCATTATTCTTTCTGTTGAGACTGTAGAAGTGTTGAACATACATATTTACTATTATTCGAAGAAATTTAATATTGTCACATACACGGATATAAAGTACCTTCCATTGACAAACAAAATGAAATTTATACGAATAAGAAGTTGATAGAATTTCTATCGCCAATCGAAGAATTTTTTAAATTTTTTCCTCCCAGATTTCGTTGCATGTTATTATCGTCAGCATTTTTGTCATTGCTATTATATTCATTAACGTGTATTATCCGATTAATATTAATGGATCTTAAAATTTTTGCACGGACGTTTCTCTGCGAATAATAAATACAACGGGTTTAATAAATATCTATTCTTCTTATTGCTGAATAGCAATTAGGAATGTCGAATATAAATAAAATCATGAGAGACATCGATAAAATCCGACATCAATAAAATATGTTATCTCTGTCTAGTAAATGATAAAACTATCATTAATCAAAAAATTGTATCAAAAGAAAGAATATTTTGGAGATGAAACAAATAGAATTTTCGTCGCTGTTTTCTAATTTTTTTTTCAACCTATTTTCAGTAAACTTTGTAATACACGAGAAGGAAAGCATTTAGCCAGAACGATACACAGCCACTGTTACGCGGACTTACCAGCGAGAAATTCGAGTGCCGTGTCCTAATGATTTATTGTCGGCGATCGCTCGTTAATTCTTCGTCGCCGCAGCGTCGCGTCCATGACTTGCGAAATGCGGCTGAATGGCCGCCGAAAAAAA